GATACTGAGTTCCGCGCGGACGAACAGCCAACAACTGTAATGAATGTCAGGTACATTTGTTATAACCGTCTTTTATTTCTTGATAGGACACCAAGTGATAGCTAATTTTTACTCCACCTTGTAAAATTCTTCCATTAACTATGCTCTAGCAGCCCACTAGCCGATATCTTGAAATGCAAGTCTGCGGAGACAACTAAAAGTTATTATAGGAAGAGGAAGAGCATCGAGGTTAATTAGATCCGCTGAAAAACAGTTTCTCGCTCAAAATCAAAGTAACCGAACAATTAAAAACAGGTGTTATAGTTAAGTGTTGAACTTCGCTCAGGAGTTGTGCTAAACATCCCGGGATAAATAACGAAAAACCTGTTTGAACGGTATTGACCGTTCTGTACTCGAGAAATAAACTAGTGTCATATTTTCCCTAAACATTTGCAAATATAACGGAAAAATTATTGTTTAGACTGTAATCTCACTGGCGGAAAACCGTTGATCCGTATTCAAACAAACGCCGCGAAGTAACTGTTTGATAGCCATATCGCGTCGTAATAAAAAGGTTTCGCAGTCTGTCTTCATTAAAACCGTATGAAAATACAGAATACGTTGGAGTCAAAGGAAATTCATTTTCAAGCAGACGAATAACCATGCATCACACAACAGATCTTTTCTAGTAGGGCTAATAAAAAGAAAATGGAAATGAGAGAATTAATTTCAACCTACAAACTCCTGCGATTTAAATAGATAGAAAACAAACAGATATAGAAGTACAATCTTACAATTAGTACAATAATTTTGCAGAGTCATATATACTCTCAACTATAATACCATGTTACCACGGTACCAGATTCTGTTATTGCATAGAAATATTTCTTAATTAGAATCACCTTTGATGTTGTACGCAATGTTTCTCCACGTATAGAATTAGCTCTCATATTTATTGGTTAATCTAAACTAAAAAAATTAAACCTATAAGGACAAGTAATAGGGTCCAATAACCTCAATCCTGGACCATTTCATATGTGGAGCGGTTTCCTAGTAAGCAATGATTGTGCGTTATGCAAGAAACCTGTTATATTCTCGACAAGTTTCCTAAAATTGATTAGCTAGTCAGGATGTTCCCAATTAGCGAGATTAGGGCGAACAGACGAGCGATTTCGAGGCGTATCCCTTGCTAATGTAATTTAATTTGCTAGCCACTGATCACTAGTACAAATTTCGAAGCTGGCGAGGGTTTTTGTAGGAGCCAACAATTGGGTCTTGAGTATGTTATTTTATTAAAAAAAAAAAAAACACAAATCTAAAAGGGTTGTAGTTGGTCTCGCTCAAAAACAGAAATATAACACGAAGTTTGGTCTTGTGGCATTAAAATGGCTCGAGTTTAATGATCTCGATGAAATATACGGCAGTTTACAATTATAGGAGGAGTCCTTTTTTTTTTTTTTTTACTTGTTTATCTAGCAAACTCTGATGTCAGCCTCACCTTTCCGTGGTCGTCTGCTAATCACTGTTGCCTCGCACAACTGCGTTATGCGTACTTAAAACTCCCCATATCCATTCTCCATTGAAAGGAAAATAAGATTTGCAATTGTGAACACATTTAAAACGACATTTTCTATGTACATATATACCACACAATTCTATATAGTCCTTGAAGGTTTTGTAGGCTGTCAACACTTTAATTAGATAGGTCGTTGACAATGTCGCTCATCAGCCACAGTGTTAATTGTTTGATCTTTTATTACTTAGCGAACCACCACCAGATGTGGATGCAGCGTCATCGGCAGTAGACATGAAATTTAAAATATAAAGCGTGTTCCGTCATCTGGTAAATATTTGGCTATGCTACTGCAATACACCTTTTGCATTTACGAAAGGTTTATTATAATTATTATTATTTATTCACTTGCTCTATGGTATCACTACACAGAAAATATGAACGATAAATGTTGTAGAAAACATAGCAGTAGCATTTGCTATGACAATTGTTCCAGTTCATGCTATTATCTGAAGCCTGTACGCTGCCTCTGTACTTGTAAAACAAACAAAACCTCATTGTTGTTGGTATTAATCACACTTCTGCTGAGACCTCCATAGTCACCCCGTACCCCCAATCCCAGCCGCTAGTTTAACTAGCGGTGCCTTTCTAAGGCGAAGCCACGACGTCGGCTACTACTTTACTGGCTCAGGAAGTTGGGAATTAAGCGACCAACAGGGAAAGCTGGTTTGGTACAATTCATAATTGACCGGGCTAACACCAGGGGCTGGTAATTAGTTGGCTATGTTGGCATTTACGAGCTTGCATACATTCGTAGCGCTAGAGAGATCATTTGCTGTATAAGGTTTACACAGATAAGACTGAAGTTGTTACATTATAATAGAACTTTCACTACCCCTTCGATAATGGTTTCTATTGTACTTATACTATTCACGTACTTGTTACCGTTGTAATCAGCTCGTACACATACGATACCAAGAACAGGCCTTAGAAAAGGGTTAGCCTTATTAGCTGCGTCCAGTCTTTTGGATCGTCTGGTGGACTACTAACAAGGGACAGAGTCCATACGTAATTTTTGTGTTTTCTGTTGCGAACATAAAAGACAAGAATGTTTTATTTAATAATGTCTAACTGCAATAAAGGCGATTATAAATTCTAAGAAAACAGAACGGAGTGCACCACGATAACTTAATGGAACCCATATGGCGGACTGTTCCAATCGGTGCGTGCAAAACAAAAACGCGTATGAAGGCGTAATTTAGGTAGCAAATCATGCTGAGCCTTAAACCTGTTGATTATAATACCTGCACGATGGCTCGTTTACTAGAATCTTGTAGATTTTCCAAGGTCGAAGCCTATCATGCAGGTTTTTAATAGACAAACGATTACAATACTAGTGAGCATATACAGATATTTAAATGTTTCGCGTTCTACGCCCGGCACTGCCGTGAGAAACTCCATCAGCCGAATGGCTCCCAGCACGACACGAAGTGTGTCCATGCCCGGATACGAACCTACACCATCAAGCGTCCCTAAGATTAGCAGGCAAATACCTTACTTACTAAGCTATCACTGGGACCAGATACAAATATACGTCAGTATTACGGTGATGCTCTTCACACTCTTCTGCAGAATTTCACAAACGCATCTTAGGTAGGGTATATATAGGCTAAGCGCTCTCTTAATATGAGTAAAACGATATTTGAATCCTATTACCATCTGTACATGTAAAACTAATTGAGGTGAAGTTATGCGTATATGAATACATACTAGAGGTATTCTATGATGCCGGTTTCACTATTTCTAAGAAAATTTCAAGTGTATTTCTTCAAAGCAAATTTTTATTCAACTGGAAGAAAACTGAACATTAATTAAAATATAAAATAGATTACTTCTCTATATCTAGCTCGCCAGTGAAGCTTAACTTTGGTTCTTTTCAGCATTCGTCATGTATTGTGTTGCGTAATGCGTCTCGAGTTATAAAATTATAACTGCAGGCTTGAATATATCAACCGTTTCTCCTGCCGTCTACTTTAAGCTGACTATAACTCAGCAGGAACCGACCCGATTAGCTGTAAATCCGTCAGGGTCCGTATTCGTTTCGCTTCGTTTAACGCCTGTCGCTTCTTGTGCTCTATGTATCAAGAGGTGTTACATCTTCCATGGCTGACTTTCTCCTTGGAGGTCGCGGTTTTATGTTTATTTTGACTATGTTTATGCCTTGACAAAAGTCAGAAATTATATCTAAATTCTTTAAGGATTCTAGCAATATGTTGTCGTTCTCCCTATATCAGATAATATGTCACGTTAGATAAATTGTATTAACATTTCTAGGAAAAAAAGTTCATTAACTGAATTAAGTATACTAATATGGCCTACTCCTGAAACCACCTGAAGGCGACAAGTCATTATGAATCGATGTAAATTTATTAGATCTACGACAAATTTGGTCGAGAATAATAGACTTGCTCGTTTTGCGCGGAACTGTTGTCACCAAACCGTTAAGTGTTAAATGTGCAACGAACCTTGTGGCCAATACAAAGATTTTTCCAAGGCTTTCTATAGATATATGGCCGTCAGCGTCTCTTTGCTTTTCCACTGGCGTCATTCAACGTATTTCAGCATTTAATTTTGCGGTGACTAGAACTGCGACATCCTGTAACACATAAACAGATCACCTGTCATTATCTTGTATATTTTTCTATTTGCGTTGTTCGGTAAGTGATTGCTGACCCAGCCATTATTGTTCATAGTAGAATACTGCACGAAAAACGATGGCTGCTAGAGCAAAATCCTCGCAGCTGTTCGCTCTTCAAGTGCTCGAGCGCATACGAAGGCCACAGATGTGTCATATAAGTGCAGCCTATTCTGTCAATTTGGGTCTGGGCCTGTTGGCAGAGGAAGTGAGTTAACCGTCGCGATTTAGGCGCACCCTAGCGGCTCTTAGAGTAACCGGCTCGCACCCGAATTGGCAAGCAACGACTGTAGTGGTCCGTCCAACGGTATACAAAAGTTGAAAGTCCTAGAGACGCCCCACGGCTCAGCAGTATGCGTTGCTTGGTGTGCTGCCTAGTGGCCGGATCTTCACTAGCGTTTAGTGTAGTAATGTAGAGTAAGAGGAGCTCGACTATTTGGTCTAATTCACCGCACTCTAATGTAACTCGCAACCGTTCGCGAAGTCCACGACTTTTCCCCATACTGCCAACCATGTGCCTTCCACTCTCTTCAAATGGTTTAGCATGAACTGCGCACGTGATATATCTATCAAAACGTATCAATGCTGACAAAATAAAAAGTTACGCCTCTCGCGCTAATGGGACCACAACGAAAAAGTCGCCGCTAGCGGCAGCACCATCATTCCTGTGGGCCTATGGGCCCGCTGACCTGGCTAATCTCTCGACCGTCATCCCCTCACTCTCTTTCACCCTCTCGCCCTATTCCTTCTCTCCTTTTTTCACGGCCCCGTCAAGCCGCAAGCGAAGGACACTGGGGCTAGCAATAGCTCCTTTCAAGGTTCCTTCTCCCTAGCTAAACAAGCTGAGGAACGACCGAACTAACGGACGAGTGGTGGCAAGCACCGCTGGGTGTCGTGCTCCGTTTGGCAAGGACCGAGGACCGCTGAGGGCCGTCAACCAGGAGCGGGTAGCCCAGCACGCGCTACCCCGCGGCCAGAGAAGCGAGCCCCGCAGACCCCCAGCCCTGGTTTTTGCTTAGGCCCCTTTTGCTGGCGCTGCTATCACCAGGAGAACCGCCTGTGCTCTGCTGTGCCTGCTTTACGTGGCCTGCTTCTGCGGCTGGCTTCGGTGGCGGCCACGCCACCCCCTCTTCAACTGCCACCCAACTACTAGTCAAGGTCTCCGCCTTGCCTCGTCCTATGTTCCTCAACCTTCCAGTTCTTGATCCACGGATCCCTTGTGCCTGGCTGCTAGCTGGCAGGCTCTTTGTTCCAGCGGGTAAGCTATCCTAGCTGGCGTTTTCCCTCTGTGCCACGGCTGGCGCACCTCCTGCGGCAGCTGCCACCATAATTTCTTCCTGTCTGAGAGAGCGGCTGTGAGCGACTCGTTCGGTCGTCCTACCGTTCCATCTCGACACGAAGAAACTATGCTGGCGGGGGTGTCGGACTCACACAACAAAGATGGCCGCCGCCCTGGTAGTCCGCGCTACGGGCCCTGCTGCTGCAACTACCACCATCGCCAATTCTTGTGCTGCTGCTTCTCGTCGTCGAGCAATTTCGGCCGAACGACGATGGCAATGTCTATGATCTTCGGCCTCATGGTTGCCGCTCGTGGAGCTGCCGCTGCTGTTACTTCTACTATCACAGGTGCTGCCGCCATCTGATCGTTATTTTTGATCGTGGACGACTAAGGGTTTGAGGCGATCGCCTCTGTCATTTGGTCGTGGTTCATGCTGCCCACTGCTGCGGCGTTGTTGTGTGTTCGGTTCTTTCGGGGGCGATCATCAGTCTGGCAGCCCAATCTTTGGACAGAGTTCGTCGTCAGATAAAGCGGTCCCGTTCTGAGCTGTGACGCTGGTCGGCAATAAGGAAGCGGAAAACTGGTTGGTTTGTTCGGCTATGAGTTGCGTGACTAGTTTTTTAATTCATTAGTTGGCTGGTTCCCCTCAGCCGCTCTTGCATGGGTGTATAGCATCCTGTGGTGCTCCACCGTGCCTCGCTGTCAGTGATACCCGTTACCCGTCGCTGTCTGTCTGTGAGGGATGCCCGTGCGTCCATTTGCCCCCTTCCTTTTCCGTCTATGGCTAGCTAAATGTTGTCTTGCTTGAAGCCATAACCAGTACTAAATGGTGTTGTAGCGTAATGAAACGCCTCATTCTACCAGCAGCTCTTCATCGCAGTTTCGTTGCAACAGGCATTAACAACAAATCGGTGAGTTATCCATTTCTTCCAAGTGGCCTCTAGGAAAAGAACGAATCGTGAATATTTTGTGGCCGTTTTGCCAGGCGCTGTGCCTGCTGCTGCGTCTTTGTCAGAACCTGCCTCGACGTTCCCTAATGCTCCAAATCGTCACACACCCGGCCACCAATCATTGCCGTTCCGGTTTGTTCCGAATAGTCGTGATAGACTTTCCTTCTCGCCATTGCTGTACATGAAAACTCAGTGTGTGTAGTGACAATAGCAGCGCTAAGAATGATTCGTAAACAAAGACAGCAAACGCAAGAAAATAGAAAGAATCGTACGAATAACAGTCAGTGGCGTTGGTAACGGTATGCGTTCTTTGAATCATTCATCAAAGAATTGAGCTGCAGTAAGAAGGGGTCGTGTCTTCCACTTGTGCCTCGGTGGTGGCTCATTCATCTATGCTGCTAGAAAAGCCCTTTCGCGAGTGAAAATAAAGCCTTCAACCGTGAGTGAGACTTATATTTGAAACTTATGAAGGATCGGATCGTTGCGCGGAATCAAAAATAGTATTGAGAGTCAAACTATTTCCCCTCTTCTGTCCCTCTACACCCCTTCTCGGAGGGTGACAAAGACAAACTATAAGTCTTGTTTTCGCGAGTACAAACGAGACACGACAAAACAAAAGGAAAGAGACAAGAAAGATAGGTTAAAACTCAAGTCGAGGTTAAGTCCGTCAAAACCGCACCTGAATCTGGTCGCCTGAATTTAGCAGTGAGAACCGTCAAGGTGCTGCTATTTCATCAGCGGCCGCCGTGCGCTACGCGCTGCAATGGTGACGACGGTGCTATTATCGGGCCGTCGAACGGCATCGCCGCTTGGAACACTCTCGGCGCTCTGTTCATTAGCTGCACGTCGCAAGGCGCCTAGAGGCGCTCTTCTGCGCGTACACGGCTCCACAAGCGCTAACTCTTCCAACTCGGCGGCATCAACGTCGTACGCCCCTGGGGCGACAGCTCCATCAGAACGAGCGATAGGAGTCATAAACAGGAACACTTCGAGCAATACGTCATGCACTGGCGCCGTTAACAATTCTGCTGCCTCCGCCGGAGTCGCGGGAGCAGCTTGGAACAGCAGTAGCAGTAGGCTAGGCCTATTCACCACGGCTCTCGCACCCGGCCTCGCGTTCGGAGTTCTTGCCATCGTCGCGGGCGCGTTCCATGCGATACCAGAGGGAGCTCTCGTGCCATCACTACTTGTCGGAGCTGTTGCGGCACTTCTGTCAGGTGAGTGGAGATCATAAAGGCAAAGAAAGATATTCAAAAAATATAAATATAGAGTTGAATTCATTCGGAGCTTCACAAGGTTTGATTACGGAATCTTCCTTCTTAACATGTTTATAAATGACCTTTATATGTTCTGTACTGACATTGAAATTGTACGTTTTGCTGATTATCAATGCACCCTGATTACATTTATCACAAGAGATGAACTGAGAGAAAATATTATCAAACAATTAACAAAAGCTAACTATTGGCTAAGTGTAAACAACCTCTCGAACCGTTTAAATACAGACAGAATTAAAACACTCAAAGGCCAACAAGGTTAATCCAGACATTAAGCGCTATAAATACTGTATGCTCCCAGGTGATAACAAAATAGATAGAGCCATTTCCACGCATGATCAACGGTCATACTACGCAACTGCATAGTCCGCCTTTTCATCAATAAATCACCATGAATTTCCTCATATAGAAGAGGTCAATACGTAAAAGTACCCCAGAATCATATTCCAAGCCAGTTTAGAACGAAATATACACGTTCAAAATATAGAGAATAAATGGATTACGGACAGGCTCCGGCCTATTAGATAAATTAAGGAACATATCATTACCCGACCTTCGTAAAAATGTCCTTCTCATTTATGCTGTTCATATGACATACTCCTGTTCGGAGTCAACTGTAAGACAAATATACAGCGTCTGATCAGTCGCCAAAAAAACGGTTATGAGAAATATCTTCTGACAAAACACTGACATTTGTTTGGCCTTTTTCAGTTTTTAGGCCTTACTGGGCAAGCCCTCAACTGAGTTCACTCACTCAATTAGATATCCTGTGAACAACACCAAAACTCACCCTTGAACAACATCTATTTAGAATTTTCCCTGATAACTCAGTTAACTGCTTTTTTAGCCAATAGTATTATAAACAATAGTTAATCGATTATATCAAAATAAATAAATACGTTCGTTAAGTGATGATAGCTATTATCATCATATATATTTCCAAAACTGCCTCTACCAAAATCATGGAACAATATAACACTTTACAACTCAAATAAAAAACTAAAACAAATATACAATATATTTGTATTACAAATGGACAGTGTATTTATGTTCTCTGATTTTTGTTTATGATGGCACCTTCGATCGTCTTCTACCAAGCAAGGCTGACATGGCCTTCATAGCCTCCCACCAGATTCAATAGCTCCTATATATTTGCATGCTTCATGTACCTGTAATGTATATATGTGTTCCCTCAGGAGACCTTCCACTGTATTAGATTTTTGTATATAATACATTTTCCGACCGGTGTGGCTTGTCTATAAAAAAGCGTTTGAATACCTAGGGTATATTAAGAACTTCATAGGATAAAACAATGCAATACCAATAGTACCAAAGTCGCAATGCCCCATGCGAATCATATGATGCTTTGGCAACAAGAAAAAAGGGGAAAAATGGTAAAAATGAAAAATAGGAAAAGGTTACCTTGATAACGACACGCTGGGTCGCAGGAAAGGATCGCTGTCGCAGCTTTTGACTAGCGTCTGCGGCAAAGCTTCCTTCAGCTCAAGACAGCAGAAGGCGATACTGGTCGGGTTGAGAAGGGCCGCGTAGCGTACGTGCCGAATTGTACGACGTCCTGTGTACGGATGTCTGTACAGGTCTCACTGCCCTGTCCTATGTATTCCTTTGAACAATCCTGCGAATCCTTTCAAGTTACAAAAGTTTTGACGAAAAGGGACCGGAACTACATGATGAAAATGAAACAATCCAACCGACAAAAGTTGGGCTTACTGCTACGAAGTGTGAGACGAGTGATCTTCGAAGCGAGCAGACTCGCAAGCTGAAGCAAGATATGGCGTAACAGGGGCAACGTCTATATTATGTCGGGTTTCTCTGTCGCTTCAAGAAAAGGACCACGCGACAGAGAACCAAGGACCTAAAACAATGGAATAAAACGAATGACGCAGAACTGCTGAGCGGAGAGCCATCAATGTGTGTGGCAGGCGGACGATGGTGGTCCGCTTGATGCTAATGAAGATTGCGGGTAGAGTGCCACTAGCAACTATTACTGAATGTAACCCATCTGAAAGCGAAGAGGGGGTTATATGCTGTACTTTGACACACTTCTAAGCAAAAACAAGAGAACAGAGAGCTAAATGGGCTTACTAGCACAGGGAAACAAGTCACAGTATCTTGGTCAGCGGGTCTGTTACCACTACTGCAGTCGCGGCTCGTCGCTAACTACCTGCCAAGCAGTTTTTCTGCTCCCAGCAGCGAAGCACACAGGCCCGTGTTTTCATGGTATTGCCTTAGTAAAAGCAAGCTATACATAAGCATTAAGTACCCATGATTGTTTCGCCGGCAACACAATTCCATATGACACAGGGAGGGCACATGTAATCAATTCTGCCATAACAACAATAACAGAAATACAGTAAATAACTCCATTTGTCTTGCACACAACGTTGTTGATGCTATCAGCTATAATGGTGTTTGCAAGCAGCAGTATATGGGCTAAAACTGAGAGTGGCGTTTCAATACATCAAAATAAGAAAAGCAAGCGGCTATTGCACCTTTTAAAGTATCCCGAATGTCTCGGGGTACAACAAGCAAGACGCGTCGTCCTAGAGAAGATACAGTTGAAAATAAGTACCTTGCTATTTTGAACTTATTCATTCTTCCCTCATCCGATTGGCTCAGCCTTTATACTATTATGTTCAGGTAAAAAAAATAGCAAAATCAGTATTTTTGGTTGATTAATTATGTCGCTTTGAACGAACTACACATTAATCACTAAGAAAAGACAGCACCGATATGAATCGCTCGTCGTCACCGGATAGCTTATTAACACTACGGAAATACGTACAACGTAAGACGTTCGACGTGACCTAATCATAACCGGGAAAGTAAGTTGATGGTTTTACCTAACTGAATTATCACAGCGAACGCATTACCTGTCTCCAACCTCCGGTCTTAAGGCTTCTGTCGAGCGACCTTTCATAGCGGCAATCGGCTCACAGTGAGGAAACGCCATTTGCCGTCAATCGCTTCGCTGTAAACAAGGAGATACATAATTAATAGAAGAAATTAGGCCGATGCGACTGCATACACGAGTCAGAGTAGTAACTTGTCCATAAATAACTCTGTCCTGCTACCACGTAATAGTAAACGGCTGACGGTCGATGTATTGTAATGGACTGGTCCTTCTTAATAGAGATTCTTCTTTCGTGCTACATACATTGGAATTGGTTTTTTCTAAACTTGAATTACAGAAAAAAAAAAAAAAAAAGATACATTCATATATTTGGCGCCTACTTTATAGGGTTTATTGTCACGTTACTTCATCAAGCCCGGCAACGGCAACAAAGATAATTAGTCAGTTTCATCAAGTGACCTTCGGGTTTGTGGACCACCTATTTGGATTTTCCGTCGTTGAGGTTTTTCCAGCTTTTTTCTGTAAATTTATCTCGTTTTCGGCCTTGTTTATTATATCGGCAGTCTTAGCGAAGGAACAGTTTTTGCCTGAAACAAAAACCAATCGTTTTCGGAGGCTATTCACCAATGTGGCGATTTTATCGATATAACGATACGATGCGGCAGTGCTTTTACTTAGAGAGATAGTGGCTGCTCAATATGCTAAGAGAATGGTTTCATTATAATAAAATAGGCCAATGTAAGGCCGTAGACGAATGTCTTACGAATGAACATGTTTACGAGCATGTTTAGTACCCACCCGACCGCCTGTCAGTCTGCTTGTCCCCCACGCGCTTCCATTGTGCTCTTTTTTAGAACCTACATCTGCTAAGTTTGGCGATATTTACTCGATACATTGGCCTCGAAAATACACATTGAATCTTCAAAAAGCAGTGTACGCTTGTTTCGCAAACGCTTAAAGATGCACCGTGTTATTCAAACGACGATGGAAGTCGAGGAACACCTCAAAGTTCCTAACGAAAATCCTTCTTTCGTTCATCCGAAGTAGCCGCACAGGCGATATACCTTGAGAATCCAAAAGCCTATCGAGGGTCCGTTGCAGATATTGCCAGAACGCATTCAAGTTGGACCTGCGTGATCTCTGCTAAAACAATGCGCTTACTCATACAATATAGCAGATGACAGTATATTGTTCTGCGTATGCATGAATGTTATCGATTTCTTTTCACGACTAGTATTTTGTCCCTCATTTTTATTCTCAAGCCATTTCTTTAATATCTAATAGTGTTCGATGGAACGGTTAGGGTTGTCATTAGCTGTAATAAGCTCTGTTTCCAAACAACAGGACTTGAGCTATTCAGAAACTTTTGCATAGGACAGTGCATGAGACAAGGCCGAGAAAGATTTAAGGTAAAGGTCTTCATAAAGAGTAGTACATTATGAAGTTATTAAAGGACAAAAACCAGTATGAATTCAGTTGAATCCGGTATAAGCGGCGAAGAACAAGATAGTCGAAAGCCAGAATGAACTCGGCCATTATTCTCTTTGAACAACACATAGCTGTGTGCTGTTTCTTACCGGGTCGCATTAATTCTCAGGCGCCAATGAAGATCCAGCGATTTTGCCATAAATTAGATCTCGTTTAATGACAACTCGATCTCAGACATACATTAAAGGGCCTCTCTTAAACTATCTAAAAGAGTTTTAGCACCTTTGCAGCTTTACTCGTAATACGTTCGCTCCGAGTAATCGTAATACAGACCCAGTGTGTCGTAGGTTCGCGTCTTTCCTGACAATAATCTTTATGGAATAAGTCTATTACAGTGTCTGGGTTGTATTAACAATGTATGAATTAGAGGTATAGGTGAAAAAAGCGCCATCTGATGACATGTTTTGGTATGCTCCGAAATCGGCAAGCGGATGCGACTTCTAGGAACCCTATCACCTAAGCTATTCGAAGGATTTACAAGATCTTTGATCTCTTGTCTAAAAAGGGCGCCGGTAAAGGTTCATACCATCGACAAATCAGCAGCTAGTCGAGAAGCTCTGTCGCAAGGAACCTTCAT